GTACACTACTGAACTTTTAGTAGCAACGGGTCGAGTCGCGAGCGGATGCTGCATATCCATTATCCTATTCAAAGTAGTTTGGGTTTTACCCATACTCATACTTACATAAGAATCGGGTAGAAAATCAAAACCATGCGTATACCCATTCAGATTTCGGCTATCCACAATTATCATAGGTAATCATTTCTCTTTATAAATTCAACCAACATGTTAACATTCACACGTATACTCACATTATATAAGTGCAAAAGTACGAGAATAATTCACTAGAATGAAGAAAATTAATTTCAAACAACAGAATTTTATGGAATTATTATATTTGTATGCTAGATATAAAATATGTTGAGAAAAATAACGATAGTTTCTAAACTAAATACGTATACATGTGTATAATCGGGCGGGTTCGGGTTGGATAGTGAGAAAACCATGCCCACCCATTACCTGCTATATTTAGGTTCGGGTTTTATCTATACTCACAGAAAATCCTTCATGTTTGGGTTTTACCCTATCCAATTAAGTCAAATTCGGACGGATATCCATACTTTCAGATATTTTTGCCATCCCTAGCTCTCTCTCGGATAATGCAATTGAGTTCTACATGATGTGTATTTTCACAACTGCAGTTGGAAATCAAGTCATACATTATGGGTATTTTACAATTTGATGGTGAGATTAGAAAAATTTTCTTTATTTGAAAATCAATATAGTACTTTAAGTTGTCTTTCCTTGTAAGTAGTTGAAATAGTTGGCTAAGGTCTGTGCTTTTTCAACTTTTTTTTTATAAAATAGACCTGTATTATTTCATTAGTGCAAAATATTACATGTATCAGAGATAAGCTGGTTCACAATGAAAATAGGGGGCCTAGCTGCCCAAAATTCAATCTCATCCCACCCGCATTCGGTATGGGCCACTATGTGGGTCGCCCGGTTACTATCCCGACCCGAAAACCGGACCATCAAATCCCCATTCATACCAGCAAGCTTTTCCTTCATTTCTTCACATTCTTCCCCTTCCTCCATTAACGACTCTTCATCCTTCTCCATCTGCTCCACCACTCTCATGTAGTCAGTTTCAATCTCCCACGGTGAAAATCCCTTCTCTATCGCAACCTCAACACCGAATTTGATGGCCTGAATCTCAGCCAACTCCGCCGTTCATTGGATTCGCGACCTTCGCACTTCGGCGAAACAAAACCCTCCATTTCTATCTCGAATTACCACCCCCAATCCAGTCCCGGCTCCGGCGAAGGTAGTGGCGTCAACGTTAATCTTGTAATCAGCACCATCCTTCGGTTTCCATCGGATCTCCTGTCTGGGTCCATTCGCCATCGTTGCAGGCTGATGTTCGAGGTACTCCAGCAACCATCTTTCTGCTTTCCCCATTATTTCTTATTCTTCAAGTTTCTTTTTGTTCCACTATTGACAATTTCGTTCTTCCCAAATAAACCAGAGCGCTGCCAGGAATTGAGTGATCTGCTCCTCGGATTCAGTTTCTTGGAGGTTTGCCATCCATTCTTCACAGGTCAGTTCCTTCCCTTTCTCAAAACACTGGTTTAGAAAACTAGGGCGCCAGACTCTCCTTACACAGCCACAGTCGTAAAAGATGTGATTTTGAGTCTCATTTTGGCCACAGAAGGGACACTCTTCACATCCTTTAGTTGTTCTCTTCGGTATGTTTGCCCCTGTTGGTAGATACGAATCCATCTCCACGCAAAAACTTTAACCTTTGGGGGTAATCTGAGTTTCCATATTTGTTCCCAATTAATTGGGGAATATATTTCTCCAAGTTCTTCTTCTTGTCTGCTGCGTAGGAATTTGTAAGCCGATTTAACTGTATAGATATCAGACCTTTCTTGACTCCAAATCCTCTTATCCCGAGCTGGTTGTCTTGGGATAGGGATTTTCATTATGTTATGTCTGTCCTGGGGAAGAAAATTGACTTTGTAATATGGCTTGGTTCCAAGTTCTCGACTCTACATCAATTACCTCGTTTACTGAGGTGTATGAGGCAAAAATAGAGACTGGTGAGACCACTTTATAGTTTGCTAAGCTAGGAATCCATTTGTCTTGTCAAATGTCGACATTGCTTCCATCTCCAATCCTCCATCCTATACCATCCTTCATCAGTTTCTTAGCAGCTAGAATGCTTTTCCAGATGTAGCTAGGATTATAACCCTCTTCAGCTTCCAGCACCTCTCGCTTTCATTACCTTGACCACCAAGGAATGAGGATTTTGTATCAGATTCCATAGTTGCTTCCCTAGGAGAGCCAGGTTAAATTCGTGTAGATTCCTAAATCCAAGTCCTCCCTTTTTTTGGGGCGACAGAGTTCTTGTCAGCTAACCCAGTGAGTCCTTCTTTCAGAGTCTTTTTGGCCCCACCGAAAATTAGAGAACCATACTTTGGATTTCTTATGTTACAGAGATAGGAATGAGGAAGACCTGCATAGCATAGGTTACTTGTGCCTGAGCTACGGCCTTGATCAGTGCTTCCTTGCCACTAAAGGAAAGCAGTTTCCCCTTCCGTAGCTTCACTTTCCTGCGAACTCTATCTACTAGGTAGCTAAAAATTCTTTCTTTCTTCTGCCTATGACAGTAGGGAGGCCCAGGTATTTTGTATGATAGTCCACCACCTTCATGCCGAGAATTGTAGCCAATTCTTGTCTCTTATTCTCTTCCACATTAGGGCTAAATGAGATTTCTGATTTATCTAAGTTGACTTTTTGACCAGATTCCTACTCATAGACATTTAGGGGGAAAATCCCAGAATACACCAGTTATTAAAAAATCCCAAAATACAGTACTTATGAAAATATTTTCCAAAATACAGCAGTTTGATCATCACCGCTGTCGACAAAGACAGTGAACATCATCACCGCGTTAGTGGATAACGGTGATGATATTCACCGTTTTTCTTTGCAGCGGTGATGATTTTCACTGTCTTTGTCGACAGTGGTGATGATCAAACTACTGTATTTTGGGAAATATTTTCATAAGTACTGTATTTTGGGAATTTTCTTTAATAACTAGTGCATTCTGGGATTTTTTTTCTCCAAATTTAGGATGGCTCTCAGTTGTTCGCAATCATGCTTGGATGGCTTCACAAATAGTACACTGTCATCTGCGAATAGTAGATGTGAGATGGAGGGAGCTCCTCTCTTGACCTTGATACCTTCAATTTTTTTCTCCCTCTCTGCCTTTGAAAGAAGAGCAGACAAGCCTTCAACAATGAATAGAAATTAATATGGGGATATTGGGTCTCCCTGCCTCAAACCTCTAGTAGGAACAAAAGTTTCAGTTTGATGCCCATTAACCAGTATAGAAAAAGATACTGTTGTGACGCAAGCCATTATCATAGCCGCCCATCTATCATCAAACCCCAGCTTCTTCATTATAGCCTCCAAGAAACCCCATTCTACTCTGTCATACTCCTTAGAAATGTCTAGTTAGCGGACATAAATCCCTTCTTGCCTTTTGTCCTTCCTTTCATTGAATGGAAGCATTCAAAAGCCACCATCACATTGTCTGTGATTAGTCTCCTAGGAACAAATGCACTTTGGAATTCAGTAATCACCTCAGGCAGAATGTGTTTGAGCCTGTTTGCCAACACCTTAGATAGTATCTTGTATAACACTCTGCAAAGGCTAATAGGGAGATAGTCCCCCGGGTTTTCTGCTATTTTCTTATTTGGAATTAGCACCCATAGTGTGTGATTGAGAGTCTGAGGGAAGGATCCTTTGTTAAGATAACGTTGAAGCTCATTAGTCACATCCTTTCCCACGATTTCCCAATTCTTCTGGAAGAAGAAAGCTGATATTCCATCCACCCCTGGTGCCTTGTGGGGTCCCATTCTTTTTAAAGCTTTCCAAATTTCATCGGCCGTGAACGATTTCAGCAGCTCTTCATTCATCTCTGTTGTGACTTTACAGGGGACTGCTTCCAGTATCTTGCTTATAGGAACTTGGTTGCCTGCAGTAAAGAGAGATTTGAAATGGTTAGTTAAACACTTCGCCACTTTGTCTTGTCCCTCTCTTATCCCTCCATTTTCGTCAACCAGTCTGCTTATGGGTTCCTTTTTCAACCTTTGATCAAGGTGCATTTAATGGAAACCAATTATTACCGAAGAAAAAAAGATGATGGTCTGAGATAATATGTTAAACCCGTGTCAATCATTAGACGAGTACTATTCTAGTTATTTTTTATAACATCAAACAAAAATTTGCCCGATTAGTTAAATATCTTAAATTATATAAATTTGGATCTTAAAAGTTATGACTTTGAAACTTCGTAATGATGATTATATATTTGTTTATTTAATTTTAGTTTGGTTAGCTAAACATAAAATGATAAGAATAACGTCAAAAATTGCGGAGTTTACTATATCTTACATGGTTTTTTTTTAAAGATTTTTTCCCCTTTTTTTGACATGCCTACATGACAAAAAGTTGCTCTAATAGGGAAAGAATCAGTCTAATGTACTATTCTTGTTATTTTTTATAACATCAAACAAAAATTTGCCCGATTAGTTAAATATCTAAAATTATATAAATTTGGATCTTAAAAGTTATGGCTTTGAAACTTAGTAATGATGATTATATATTTGTTTATTTAATTTTAGTTTGGTTAGCTAAACATAAAAATGATAAGAATAACGTCAAAAATTGCGGAGTTTACCATATCTTACATGGTTTTCTTTTTTAAGATTTCCCCCCCTTTTTTTGACATGCCTACATGACAAAAAGTTGCTCTAATAGGGAAAGAATCAGTCTAATGTACACAAAACCAACAAGCTTGATACAACTGCAACCAACAGGTAAGTCAAGCAAACAGATTGACAGAGAACAGCCTCAAATATGAGACAATAATTTGAAGTAGATAACAATATATATGGAGAGGGGTAAGAGTGCAAAAATATGCTCCCAGAAAATAAATGCAGAATCCTTTTTCACAGCTTGGTGGAACTTGAGAAATTATTATAAAATTAAAATGATAAAGATGACATGCAAATTTATGGAATTTACTGAATCTTACATGACAAAGAGTTGGTCTACAACTTCCATAATATAAGATAAGATGCAAATGTACACATTCATCAAAGGGCAGTCTAATGTACAAGTTTCAATACATAACCAAACAAGCTTATTACAGCAACCAACAGGAAAAGTCGAGCAAATAGATGACATAGAACAACCTCAAATATGCGACAGTAATTTGAAGTAGATCACTATGTATATGGAGAGGGACAAGAGTGCAAACACATGCTGCCAGAAAAGAATTGCAGAAGCCTCTTTCACAGCATAACCTCTGAGGCTGGCTATTGCTCCGAGTAAAATGGCACTCGGAGTTGTGTAATGCAGAAACAGCACAAATCTGTACATTGCATCTTCCTGCCCCAGAAAATGTAGCTTATCAGCTAGAGCAACAACGCCAATTCCGAGCAGAGGAAGCAATAAAAGCCTTGCCACCGTTATGCCTATTGTTGTTCGAAGTCCAAGAGTAGAGTCTTTCGGCCCCTCAGAAAGCATACCCCCAAGAACCAGCATCACAGAAGGCACCATGGCACCCCCTAAGATTTCAAAACTATCCTTAATGAAAGAAAGGGGAGCATCATAGCCAAATACGATTGATCTTAGCTGAGGCACCGTTCCAATAATGATAGCCAACAGAGAGGCAATAGTTGGAGGTTGAAGTATATGCTGTATTGGAGTTTGTTCAGCTACAACTCTCATCTTCCTCACAACTCTAGGCTCTGCCAGACACCTAATGGACCTGGGACTAGTGGTAGAAGTTTCGACGGAGAGATCGAGATCGGGGAAATTGCTCTGTGATAGAGAAGAGATACTATTGAAGACCCTAGCAATAAAAGGTGACTTGGAATGCTCGGTTTCTTTCTCCTCAATCCCTGGCCATTCAGCTTCCACAAGGAGCGGCCTACTGACATCTTCAGATTGCTCTACCTCTTCAATCTCCAAACCTTCCTCTTCCTCGACAATCTCATAGAACTGCAATGGTGGCTCCATCATGTGATAAACAAAGGTGTAAACAAGGATGACAGCTACCCATTGGGCAAAGGAGACATAAGCCACACCGCGAGAGTGGCAGTGGGGGCCAAATGGTGTGTCTTTACTGTGACACACGGATCCAACAATGGCTAAAGGCAGATTTCCAGTGTTTCCAAATGCGGTCATGATGATTGTGAATCTATTGAACTGTGGGGGAGGACGGCATATAACTACCACCAAGAGTCCGAGAAGGAAACCCATTGCCGTACTTACTAGAACATTGACGGGGATAAACCACCATTTAGCCATGTTCTCAAGAGTGATGGATTCACCCAGCTCCGTGAAAATCAAACATGGCAGAAACAGAGCAAACACCAGCTTGCTCAGGAGCCTGAAGGTCGCCCTAGGGATAATTTGTTTTCCTGGGTGAGCAAGAATCAATCCAATCACAGCAATAGACAGAAGTTTCAGCAGCGGCACAATTGCAGTCAGTAGATTTGCCCCATCAGACGTAAACATTATTACTCTACTGTGACCTACCAACCAAACAACGCCCTAAATTCAGAGTAAAGCGAGAAACAGACCGAAGAGGAGACTGCCAGAGGGCGAGGACAGCCAGAGGGAGGACGGCGGAGGACTTGCTGTCCTCGCGATCTGAAAGCTCTGGAACCACAAACAGCGGGTGAACCTGCAACTGCTGCCCGGGGGTGGGGGAGATCTGCTCCGCTGGCAGATGGCGTCGCCGTCTTTGGCCGCCGGCGTATGAAGGTGTTTGACTTTCTGAATGATTGCTAATTATTAGCTAAACTAAGTATCTGTTTAGGGGTTGGGATGGGAACTTGATGACCTGGGCGATGGCTGGGTTCGATGTGTATTCTGGACTTAGAGAGAGAGTGTGTCTGTGGTGAATAAGTGGTAAGGATGTTGATTTACGATCCAGGTTGTGATTTATCTTACTAGTACTCTCTCTCGTGAGTCGTGATCCAACGGAAGAAGAAAAAGCTCTTTTTGTTCCCTTGTGGGCAGGATCTCGCTTCTCTGGCCCAAATCAAGTGCATCTCGGCTTATGGTGGCCATTCAATTGTTTAGGTCAAAACCAAATCAAAATAATAATAATAAGCCAAAATACACTTGTATAGCCATAACTTTCACGTTTGTGACAAATATAGCCATAACTATTCGAAAACCAAAAATAGCCCAAAAAACTTAGGGTAGTGTGACAAATCTAGCCAAATCCGTTAGAAACTTTAACGGTGTTAGAAACTCCGTCAGTTAGATTAACGTTAGGCTGACTAGGATGCCAAATCGTCGGACACGTCAGCGACCAGTCATCAAATCATTGCCATGTCATTTTGAATTATAAAATTAATTAATTTTAAAATTAAAAAATAAATAATATTTTAATTTTCCCCTTCCCTGCCCCCTAGGCCCTAACTGCCCCTTTCTTTTTCTTCTTTCCATTATCCTTCCTCTGATCTCCACACACTCACAATCCCTTCTTCCTCCTTCCTTCCTCCCTCCCTCCAGCCATTTCCTTTCTCTCCCGCACCTTGGTTGTGTGCTTTATCATAAGTTTTTGAGCTCCTCCCTCCTTGTTCGGCTTGCAATAATATTCCCATGGAAACAAATTACTCACAACTGAAAACCCTAATAGAAAGAGAAAAAAAAGGTGAACAGAAAGAAGTGAGAAAGAACATTAGGTCCCTCCAAATCACAAGGCCAAATCATATTATCCGCTAGCTAGCTGGAGAGAGTAGTACTGCAGGGAAAGCAGCAGAGCAGACCCTCTTCCCATTTGCATAAAGGAGCCAGCGAGAGAAAGCAAAAAGGTTTATTCTGCAGATTAAGGAAAGGAAACTTCACCACCACCACCACCACCGCTACTTCATCTTCTTCCTCTGCAACTAGCATCACAACTTGCTTTCTGGGTTCCAATACTCTCATGAGAGAAGACAACTTTAATTTCTCCTACCATATATAACAAACTAACTCTTCTCTCCATTATTCCCTCATACCCTTTTGTTCAGCTGATGCATATGTTCTTTCTTTCTTTGTTTATTGTAATTGGGCGAGGATCAAACCTAATTCTGTTTCTGTCATCAGGTTCCTCGTCCCCCCAATTCTCCCCATCCAATCCAAACCCCCTTTTTTCCTCTCTTTGCTTGATTCCCTCCCTAATAATCTCTTTCTGCATCTAATTCCCTCTCCTAAACCAAATCCACATCTCCTCAAAACCATACCGGCCAGGTCGGCGGCCTTCCCGGCGGCCTCGACCTCCACCACCACCACCCTTCCCTCCACAATTCCGCCCTCAACGACGAAGACGAAGACCACAACAGCGGCGGCAGCGAAAGCGGCGGCGGAGGGGAGCCCAAGGAAGGCGCAATCGAAGTGTGACAGCCGTGTGGATTGAGAAGGTGGGGATCTGGAATTGAGAAGAGAGGGGAGCCATTATTCGTGGCGGAAGAGGAAAGGAGAGAGGGGAGAGAATAAAAAAATTAATTATTTTTTTTTATTTTTGTTTTCAGTTAATTCCACCTATTGACAAAATATTGCCAACTCAGCATTTTCCGTTAGTCTAGTCATACCGTTATATAACACCGTTAAAGGAATGGACGGAATTGGCTATTTTTGGTTTTCGAATAGAAATGGCTATATTTGTCAAAGGTGTGAAAGGTATGGCTATACAGGTGTATTTTGCCTAATAATAATAATAATTGGAATGCGCAAATACCATTAGATCATCTAAAACCGAGTTAATATGCAAATCACTTCGGTCATGTTGACCCGATTTAAAGCCCGGTTCAGTTCGGATTTATCTGATCATATCGCATTACTGAACTTGGAAATCATGGTTACCATCTTGGAAAGTCACGACCGTGATTTTTTGGGGGTCGCAACCATAAAATCCAATTTGCTCACTATAGAGGGCTCACAGTTGCCTTTGACATTTCTCACGATCGTGAAGTCCATATTGCACGAACATGAGTTTTATAGTGTGTATTTGAGTTTTCACTCTCGCTTCCTTCAATACTATCAGGCATGACTTTTTGGTGAAGAGCATGAGTTTCATTTGTTTGTCTTGTTTTGATTCTTTTTTCCTCAAATGTTAGGAAACTTACTCCCAAACCTTCATCATATACTAGGACTTGAAAATACATCAAAAGAGAACAATCTAGTGTACAATTAGCAAAGACATCCTTGGTCATCTTAGTCGAGATAGGATGCCTTAAATGATGTATCATCCATCACTTTAACACATCAAAATAAAGTTGTAGAACGATGTTGATGGCGATGGCGATTTGAGGGAAAGACTGATGGTCGACTGCCCGTATTGGAGATTAGAGCACTTTGGTTGTTGTTTATTTTGCTGATTTTGGCTTGTAGACGTCATTTTCCAACGGGTGGTTGAAGAAGAAACTCAACAATTGAGAGTTAGGGAGTGGGATTGCCAGATTGGCGAGGGTCATTCGAGGTGGGGTGTGGTTCGCATGGAGGTGGAGAAGGGAATGGAGATGTAAAGAAGTTGGGACTCGTCATCTTCGTGAGAAGAGACGAAGAATTTGACTTTGCGGAGAGGAAGGGTCGAGAACTAAAAGGATGCAGCAGGAGCGAGCAGTCAACTTCACGAAGGGCAGTGGTGGTTTTTTAACTGGTGTGCGCCTATGCAGGGAGAAGGAGGAGCTGAGGAGTTCTCGTGTCGTGGAGTTTGTGGAGTGCAGAGAGGAGCGGTGAGAAAATTCAAAGAGCATGGTGGCGATCGGCAAGCACAATCACCTCCATGTTTCGTTTTTGCCTTTCGAGTCTGGTGAGTGCTGGATGTGGATGGTTTGCTTCTCAAATTAGGTCAGGGAAGAGAGCTCAACAATCGACTGGGAATCGGAAGAAAGGAAAGAGAGCTAGGGCGGGGCGGCTAAGATAATTCAGAAGTTAATCAAAGTTGGTGTTTTGGTTTAGTTCATTACGAACCAAACAATGACACATGCCTAGCAAACATCCTATTTTTGACCCGTATGCGTCTCAATTTTGGCTCGGTCGGTCAAAATTCTAGTTCGTTGGTTTGTTTTGAGTTTACTGAATTGATTTCCCACCCCTATCTCAGTTACATCTTGCCAAATTCAGTGACATAAGAGAATCAAGTTGTGTTACTTTCTTTATGTACCAAAAAAAGTTGTGTTGCTTTTATAAATAAAGCATATTCGAAAAGTACCTCACAATGGATAGTTTTTCATTTTTTTGTATTATTTTATAGGGTTATATGCAGAATATGTCTTTTTATTACTCATTTTTATCAACCATGCTCTTTTTTTACTTCAAAACAACCCTTGTACTTCAGAAACATTATCAAAAATTTCACACTGTTATATTTTTTGTCCAAAACTATTAACCGTGGTCAAAGCGTGGTTTGGGCAACATAAATGTCAAACATAGCCTTAATAATTTTACTTTAATGAGACTTACAGAAATAAATGGAGTGGCGAAATTGACACTTCCCTTCTCATTTAGTCATGGCCAGGAGGCCGAGCCACAATTCAAACGTGGTTGACAATGTTTGGATACAGAATGACATGTTTTCCCCCTCAAGGTTGACTTCTTATCGCCAAAAATCCTAATCCAAGGTTTATAAATAGGTCCCTAGGATTCATAACTTGGTAGCCAGTGACAAAAAGCATTAAAGGACTGTTACCTATGCCGACATAGCAGCTCACCCGACTTAGAGTGAAATTGGTTATGATGGAGAAAACAAACAAAATCGACGGCCTAAACCCCAATTTCTCTGTTCCGACTTTCATTTTCATATATTTTATGGGGTCTTCGTTTCAATCAAATAATTCCTAGGAACCCATCCCATGACTGGTTAGTTCCTTTAGTTTCATACGTTTGCAAATCCTAAAAGTTCTTGATGTGTGAACTCGATGTTTGGTATTCAATAAGAATGATTTCATCTTCGTATCTTTTGTGTTTGATATCCTCTATGTTCTCTTTTGTTGATTTGAATGAATGCTTAGTCAAACATGCATCCCTTTGTGGTGCAAGCATCGAAGCCCTAGTCACCTATAAAAGACTATACATGGCGGTTCTATCCAATCGATCATCATTCAATCAAGTAGTATATTGTCTCAAGGGAAAATACGTAGGGTCCTTGTCACCCGCTAGTCTGGGAACTCTAGGAAGAGCTTGCATGTGCAATGCCTTCCTCCAATGTCTTCCTTCACTCGTCCAATAGCCATAGGTTTCCTTATCTATACTTGCCTTTCTTTTACTTTCCATTTCTCAAAATCGAAGGCACCTCAACCTCCTACAAATGATTTCCAAACATAGATTTTGTCCCTCGCCATCTAAGTAAGTGGTTGTGAGAGACCCTAGGGAACACGATCTTGGTCTTCGGGCCAGGTAAATTTGACACCACCTACTACGAAGAGATATACCATATAGGCTTTCCAAACACTAATTTGTTTTGAATGAAGGGGGAGATGCACTACATTCATTTAGAAAAAAAATGACATCATAATGTCATCATAAAATGATTAATACTTCATATTCTCGGGCAGCTACACTCCGAGTATGTAGGAAGCAAGCTTTCATTTGTTTGATGAATAATTAGGGTTGCATTTATTAACATACCTTCTTCATATTTTCACTTTGCTCTCTTTTCCTTCTTGTTAAGTCACTTTAAATCAATTCAAACAACTTGAGATTTTTCTATACATTTGGACTGGAATGAGTGACCATGCAATGGGTTTGCAACATGACAATTCATGTATCCACCTTTAATTCCATTCTCTCTCTTCCTATTTTTAAATTAATGGAAGAGATTAGGTTAGAGGTATTTGGAAGGTGAAAACCCTACCACATGAGATCACTCTCCATCTCTCCCTACCCACTCACAAAAAACCTCTCATCT